TATTTATTAATGGAAAAAAAATTTTCAAAATTTTGCGGGAGCGAGTCAAAATTTTTGCGGGGCGAAACTGAAAAATATATTACAAATTAACTAGAAATAGTGGACCAGCGGATAATATTGGGGGCGGTCGCCCCTTACCCCCCTATCTCCATCTCTGCTTCATGTGAATTCAATTTTTTTTTCTACTTTTCAATTACTCTCATTCTCCTAAAAATACTATTCAAAATTCTATTTTTTCATTTTTTTTCTTGTTTTTCCCAATTCGAATGTTTACTATTCCAAAAATGGGTCTCAATCTTTAACTAAAAATCTGGAATATAACTTGTACGATTGAACATTGATTGTGATCTAGGAGCCGGCAAATTTTACACCTCTGCTCGTTCATTAAAGGTAGGGTTGTCAAATGCACATTAGCTAACGTGATTTCTTTACAAGAGAAGTTTCAGATTGATTACGAAAGAAAAATTTCAGAAACCGTGGCATTAATGGAAGCTCAAAATAATGATTTTAGACTTGTAGCTCAATGGAACAATGAAGTTATTTTCTGTCAAGAGCAACTTGCTTTAATGGTGAAAAAATCCAAGCCCCTAATTTTGAACAAAAGCAGCTATAGGCTTTTCAAAAAATGGATGATGAATCAGCAGAAAGACAATCAGAAACAAAAGAAGAAGAATACATTTCAGACGGCCAAACTCATGAAATGGATGAAAATCTAGAAGAAACCTACATAGAAATGATGGACAAATAAACACAAAAGACAAAAGACATGCAAAGGAGAAAAAACGAGAAGCAAAATAAAAACAAGATGAAAGACAAAAGCCAGAAGGAGGACAATCATAATGTCAAAGGAGTAAAAAAGACGGATCCATATGACAAAAATTTCAGAAGGAATCTCACATTTCTAAAGAAAAATTTATTTGCCCTCTTTACATACCATACACCTGTAAAGTAATAACAGTAATTTTTTTTTAGAAACAAAAACGTGATGTATTAATGTCTATAAATAAAAACGTGATGTATTAAGGGTGTGTTCGGTAGAGATTAAAATTAAAAAAATAGCCGTTATTGTTGACTTTTATTAGACGAGTGAGACCCAATAACGACTATATTTTCAATTTTAATTGGATTTTAAGTCCTACCAAATATGCTCTAATTATTTATTTGTAATCCCTTCTTGTAAGTTCG